AAGAGAATTCCATGGTAAGTACTGCTCGCGGCGGGGGGTGGGCAATGAGCTTACATGGTAGCAGATGCGCACGTCCGAGATGTGCAAGCCCAAGAAGAACGAAAGACTGTAGCGGAGGTGGCGGCTCAGCAGGCAGGCAAAAGTGCGCGTAAACGCACGCGGGCCGCCGCAGATCGTATCGAAAAGCAGGACGAGCCCTCGAAGGAGAGGATACTTATGAGTCTTCTCGACTTCTACTCGTGGATAAAGGACCCGGCGGCGAGTCCTCGATGCGTTCTCGACCTCCCGCCAGGATTTCCAAGCCATGACCCGCTCGTCGAGTAAGCACGGACACTGGAACGTGGCCCAATAGGACTGACGACTTGACCTGCAGTATGCTATCAGACGGTCACACAGAAGTCCGCACTCGCTCATTTCGATCTACGATGCGTGGCTACCGCTGTCTTCCTGCAGACATACTGAACACGTACGACTGGGCGCTCGTTCACCAGCGATGCTTTTTGACGATGGCACACTACGACGCGAATGGCCTCGGAACATCGATACAGGTCAAAGGGAAGGGATACAAGTTTTGGATAGTCTTGCGCTTCCCGCAACCGGACGACCCGTCGTTCGTGAATCTTGTGGAACGAATGCAGCATATGGTAGCGGGGGGCTCCGAGTTCGGGATGTCACGCGACGACTTCCAAATCCCTCATGCGGACTGGGAGATCCTCCCTGAGCATGGTGCGATCATTGTACTGGAAGAGGGTGACCTGCTGTAAGGAAATACGATGCTCGCAAGACGAACAAATTGTTATTAACATCTGTGCAGGTTGCAACCGCCGGGCATTCCTCATGTCGTGTTCACTCCCGTCCATTGTGCGACATCCGGAAAGCACTGGTGCTCGTACCACTTGCTCGCGCAGATGGAGTTCACTCGCGCGTTCGAAACCGTCGCAAACACCCGCGGCACCAATCACGATCACATTCTCATCCAAGTCATGCTCGTCTACATGGCGGCCGCCCTTCCAGCGCGCGTGCGACAAGGTGATAGTGAGCAGGGTTCCTAATTCGCATCCGTTGTCTTTCGCTCATGCTATGGAAGGCTTTCGCTATAAGCCAATGCTTGCGCTGTGTCTCATGGTGCTATGGCCGCATCGCTATATCTCGAAAGCTGCAGCGGAACCAGCACAAGTAGCAGAGAACGAGCTATCGGACGACGGTGCTGTGATCAAGCGGTTCCTCAGGGGGTACGACAAGTGGATGGGAATCGACATAGACTTTGAGGCTCACTCGGTATGTGCAAGCATGATTAACAGCTTGGCGCCCCGCGCGCCTAAGGAGAACGAGAAAAAATGGTACGAGCGTATCAGGGACTACAATACAGGAGAAGATAATTGGTTGTCACCCGGGGAGTACGTGGACTTATCATATCTACTCGATGAGCGCTCTACATAGACGCCCTCCTATACATGTCCTGCACGAGCGTGCTTCATCAGCTGGCGTCGGGGCGCGGCCATCACCTCTTGACAGTAGGGAACATGCATAGTAGCCTTCGCGTAATGTCAACAGTAGGACTGCGACGCTCCCTATCGCAAGTCGAACACAGCGATAATCGGCACAGTGCTCCGCCGCGCAGTTGCACGACGCATCGACGGCGTGGAGCGGATACGGTTGTTCCTGTTTAAGGACCTCGCCCGAACTACCAATTTCCTTTTTCCCTTCCTTCCCCCAATCGGGCACACGGATGCAAAAGTTCCCGATCACGACGGGCACGAAATGGTTTTCGCGCAAGGCACAGACTACTTTTCCCATTGAAAGGAGTGAGCGGAGCGTCCCGTACATTTGTTACCGTGCACTCCGCGACATTGGAATAGGGAGAACGGTATAAGACTGAAGGGTGGTTGCGGGATCGTGTCACACATTCATCAATGAGGTTGTCCACCCTTTACCCACAGGGAACGCCGTTCGCGGTGTAAGTACTCATCATACTAAGCTGTGAACCTACCAACGCTTGCCTTGCAGCCCAGAACTTCACGATGCGATTTTCTCTGGCTTCGACCAGACCGACTTCACGAACTTCGCATGCACTTCAAAGTGGAACCGGGCGATCACGCGCGAGCACCTTGCACGCGTCTACAACATTGCAAAAGCGCTCGGTCGGTACATGGCCGTCGAAGACGTCCCTAGGTTCCAAGCCATACAGAAGTACACCGGAATGATCATCTCTGGGTCGTTTGCGCTACGATTCATGGGCCAGTACTCTTTCGTGGAAAGCGACCTCGACCTGTACATCCCTTACTCGACAGCCATGATCGTCATCCACTTTTTGACGTGCAGAGGATACACGTACACGCCGAGATCGACCCAGGATCCCGACTTGTACAGCGCACTTGAGTACACAGACCCCGCGCTAGTGGTCGCTCACGACGCCCTCAGTGAGTCGGAAAGACGCGACTGGCAACCGTATTCGAATCATGTTGGAACTTTTACGTTCATGCGCGGAGAGACGAAGGTGCAAGTTATGACGTGCCGGTACAACGCCATCTGCGCGTTATTCGACTTTCATAGTAGTGAGTAGACTTGCGATCATTGGCTCTGCTGCTGACAATCATCGAAGCTGTTGTCATGAACGCCATCACTCACGATGCAGCCATATCCCTCTACCCATACGAGACGTTCATCCACAAGCGCAACCTCGTCATCGATCCATGGGAATACAACGTCGATCATACGAGTCGCCAGCAAGCGGCCGTCATGAAGTACGCTGCGCGCGGCTGGCGTATGATCAAGGATGTCGATATCATAGAAGGACTGAATAGTTCGCGCGAGTATGGCAGGCTGTGCCGCTTCGTCGGCGACTCCATGACGCGCGTTATTCCACTGTCAGCCAAGTAAGTAGAATCGACGCTGGTGTACGTTGCGAATTGACGACTCACGATGACAAGCATGACGCCACCACAGTTATATCAACCCGCCTTTTGGAACTCATGGACGCTTCAATACGAAGTTATTGTTCGTTTTCCATCCGTGCCCCATCCGCGCGCGTTCTCCGCACAGATCGGCTGGACCAACATCGTTAGCGCGGACTTGTTGGACGACTTCCCGGAAGCGAAGTCGTTGTCGTTCGCTACGGATGCCATGATAGACCTTTTCGGTCATATTCTTTGGAATGGATTGCGGCATCGCGAGGAAGCGTGAGCGACTATTTAGAATCGCGTGCCAGGACCGGTAGCGCTAACACTTACACAGCACAGATAGGGAAACTCTTCAACGCGTCGCGAACATGTCATGCATGTACTTGGCGGATGTGTTCGCAACCATGTCGGCGTATAGGCCCGGCTTTCACTGAGGGCTGTACCATACAGTGCTGGAATATGTACTACTCCGGTGTAAGCAATGTCGAAGTACGCTGATGTCGTAAAATATCGGCGAGCCCATCCTCCAAGCCAGAGCGTTTCAAAGTCGCGCTAGATATTCAACCCGTATGACTCCTAGACTTTGTCTAAATCTGTCTCAGACAAGTACTCCGATACATAAACCTCTGCGCATCGTCGATTTCTCACCCCCCCCCTTTTCAAGTGTGTGCGAGAGTACCGGATGTGAGTACTGTTCCTTCCCTTCTTACATCAAGACCATCTTACACCGTACAGATGGGCCGCACAATAAGCCTTGAGTGTGCACAAGCCGTCGCAGGCGTCGTTGACCGTCACACACTCACGACCTTCTCAAGAGTCTGCAAAATGACGAGACGTGCATGCGCGAAGCGTTTGTTCGACACGATAACCATTTGCGGTGACGACGATATGGCTGCATTCTCAAGGACGTTCATACACACCGACCTTGTCAGACGATTCACGATCATTGCCGTCGACCCACGAACGGAACTCCCTGAGCTGGGGAACGCAACCCATATCACCGTCACTATCAAGCCACCCACATCGGCAGCGCGCAGGTATGCGCGGATGCTGATCGCTATTCTCGAGCGTACGCCCGCCGTTCACCACCTTCGCCTACAAGTGCCTTTTGAGGACTTACAAGACCTTGATCTGGCGCTTTCGTCTAGATGCAGGCAACTGCACACACTCGCGATATCTTTCCCTAGCCATGCTCAGCCAGTCACCAACCTGCGCAGGCCTCATAGCCTATGCCTCCAACTGGACACACTCGAATTCGAGAACGATGCGTCATGGAATGTGGGTTACTTCGCGAAATCGTTCATGACTCTGTCTTGTCCATTCATACGACGCTTGTCCCTTCCTCGCACATCGACATGGGCCGCACTATACGCCTGCGTACAAGCGACGTCAACATCACTTGTCGAGCTACGAGTCGAACCTTTCATGTCTCCGGCGCACTACGATTGTGAGTCCTCACATAGTCATAAAGCGGCACGCAGCCTGATGATTGAGCAGCGTCAAGAGTCGTCCCACGCATACCACATCTGCGGTCGGTAACGACGATCGTTCGTACCCATGAACACAACAGGAACAACGAGTTTGTTGAACGAATTCGCATGATGTTTGCGTGCAACGATCACATTGCCCTCCAAATAGTTCGCCTAGATATGTAACGAGATGTACCGAGCGTATCCAACCGTGTCTGTACCCGTCGTACGGCCATGACCGCGTCAGCGAGTAACGTATTCGGTTGCATGTACTTCCCACACCATACATCGGCCCGACGGCGCGTCCATGACGCAATGTGCGAAATCCAGAGCCACCTGAAAGTCACGTGTGAGTCATTGGACTGACCTGAACCGCCACGGGCCTCGCATCAGAGAACATGAGCGAAGCGCAGCCCACTGGATAGAGACATAATTAACAATAATATTAAGACATGTATGATACTACACTTGTAATGGTACCGCTAGTCTACATTATCTACACGAGTTTTCGATTACACACGCCGATACGCGTCCAAGATATACGGTGCTAGTGTGCTACACTTCACTTCGCTTACAGCACGCACACTCTCACTGCTCATCGAATACGACGCTCTTAGAAGGTGTCAATATCTCAGCCGGAAGCAAATAGCGAACCACTTGCCTGCCCAGCGAAGTCCAGGAGAACCGCCGCTGCGGCGGTCCTGCGTCCCGCACCCACCAAGAACGTAGTACCGTATTCCCTCACAAAGGCATTAGACGCCACGAGAGGAGTGTCTTCGGTCAGCGCATGCGTTGTCGCGACGCCTGGGGCGGACACTTCTCCGCGGAAGCCAATAGATAGACCGCCATGCACCGCCTTCAGGTGTTCCATGAGAAATTCGATAGCGTAGGATCCCCCTGCAGTGAAATATACTATGTCACCGCAGTAGGAGCACTCGGCGCAGATGTCGTTGAAGCGCGTAACCGATGGCGATTTTTCGAGCGCGACCTTGCGATTCTCGAGGGTCTTCTCGCCAAACTGAACACGACCGAGGACGTAGGACGACATCGCGACTAGCTTAGCGCTGTAAAAGCAGAGAATCAGTCGACGATGAGAAGCGACCGAGAACATACCACAAGCAGAGACGGGTCGAGCTTGAAAATCAGAAGAATGGCGATGTTGAAGCCGGCGCTTAAACGACAATCGTAAGTTGCTGATGTCGCACTGTAGAAGCAGAGAATCAGGCGACAGTAGAGAGCTACCGAGGACGTACCAGGAGTAGAGGCGGAACCGGCTCTAAAGCGTTAAGGATGGCGAAGTGGAAGCCGGCGCTTAAAGGCAAATCGTAAGTGATGGGACACGGTGCCAAGAACACAGACTGACATCGAGTAATGGAGAAAGATCAGAAAGATGCGAAGCGTAAAAGGGAGAAAGTTAAGACGGAGGCGCGCGATAGCAAAGGACTGGAGAACGCGACGCGCTGCGAATGTGTTGAAGTAAGGACGGCAATCACCGACCGCACGCGAGAAGTCGGTTACTTCCGACCGGACCGGCAAACCCCGCACGTCCGGAAACTTGCGATCAAGCCGCGTCTGCGGACTCGGCACGGAAAGCACCGACAAGGCGTCAACCACGCGATCGGTCGGCTGCATTCACTCGCCCGACGTAGCGCGACAATCTCAAACGCAAGACGTGGTAATCGAGGGAGCGCATGTTGAAGAGAGTGCAGACATCGCGTGCACGACGTTTACAGAGTCCAATGCGCATGCAATAAGGGAAAATGCGTGTACATCATGACTGAATATAAAGGCTGATTCCGGATTCAATACATACGTCATCAAACATCGCCTCCTTCCCCCCGTCTTCGATTGGATCGTTAGAAGCACTCAAACAAACAAGATGAAGCGAGTCGTTCTCGACAGTAGGTGCTGTTTGTAATACCGTGGCATCTGAGCAGAACATGGATAAACTACAGGTTCACCAGAGGTGGTCCTAGTGTACGACGACGAAACCGAGTTAGGACCGTCGTGGCACTTCAGTTACAGCAACGCCATCGTCGACAACACGACGCATAGCACGTCCAGCAGCGAGGAGGGCGATCACTGCGAGCGCGTTACTGGCGGCGCAATCGTCTGAAGCGTTCCTCTGACATTATTTTCAGATGTGTGGGATCGTGTACTGCGCGGGGTCAGTGTGCATGCCTCAAAGCGCAAAAACAGTGGACATCAAACTGGGGTGTCAAAGGCTTCGCGTACTCTCCCAAAAAGCACTTGAAGACGTTCGACCATCCGGTATTCGAGTGCAACTCTAGATGCCGTTGCTCGCCTGGCTGTCGTAACAAGGTGCGAGCACGCTCTGGAGCATTCCCCCGGTCAAGTAACCCTATTCTAAGGTCATCTACCACCAACCCCATGCATCTGTCGAGATACGACGCATTGAAGAAAGAGGGTGGTGTGTATTCAACGGGCCTTGCCCTATCGAAGCAGGCGATCCTGTCGGATTTCTTGCTGGAGAGATGGTAACCCGACAAGAGGGAGAAGACAGAGCTATGTGAGTCGCAATGAACTTCCATACATCCGACATGATTATAAAAGAAGCAGGTCCCAGAATAGGAACGGCGAGTGCTACGTATTCGACATTGACTTCTGGTACCTGCAAGGAGCGCACAACTCGACTGCGGGAGAAGTTGACAACGGGATGACCCGAGCGTACGTTGCATGTTAACACTAGCTTCCCAAGGCACTCATGTCGTCCCAGCCCTGAAGGCGATCATTACTCCGTGGACTGCAAAGACACAGGCAACGTATGTGGACAGACAGAAAGGGCGCGCGAACTAACCATGCGACCACAGTTCACAAGATTCTTAAGCCACTCGTGCGACCCAAACGTGCGTGCAGTTGGAGTGTACGTGAATGAAGTGGGTGCGAGAACGTTCGCGAGCGTGGACAACTGACGAGAGAGCACTTGCAGAGACGCATGCGCAAGCCAATCATATCCTTCTTCGCAAGGAGAAAGATTCGCGCAGGAGAAGAGGTATCAATATCGTACATTGACGAACGGGCCAGTACGACAACCGAAGCAGGGGAATCAGGCGAAGCAAGTCCTCATACCATGTTAGCCATGGTGTGTAAATGCACCTGTGGTTGGAGCCAGATGTAACCAGGCATGGATGCAGCCACAGGGACAGTTTCATTTGCCCTTGATGCAGCCATCCATGGCTGCTACCATGCCAGGTTGAAAAGGGCAAATAAAGTCACAATTGTAATTAATAGCAAAAGTAACTTCACTGGGTTTGAACCAGTGACCTCTTCATTCTCTGGTGGTGATCTAACCAACTAGGCTATTAGGGCTTAAGTTTCTGAAGTGTTGATCACACTTTATCATAGTACCCTCTGCCAACCTAAAACATGCTCAACAATTGGTTAGGCCTGTTAGGGTTGGTTAGAGGCTAGGTTTTCAAGGTTAGGAGGGTTAGAAAGTTAGGTTAGTTAGGGTTAGAAGGGTTAGAGGTTAGGGAGGTTAGGTTAGGAAGGGTTAGGGAGGTTAGGGTTTTTGTTAGGGTTAGGGGTTAGGTTCAGGTTAGGGCCAGGGACGGTATACCTGCCTCGTTGTCTCATTGGTTAGAGGTTAGAGTTTGTGATCAGAAGCATTGGAGATGAACTGAGAAGGTAGGTGAGGTGAGAGAGGGTTAGAAGGTTAGAAAAGGTGGGAGAGGGTAGTATGGTTTATAGCTGGCTGTTGATAGAAACTGCAAGCTCCAATGGCTCAGTTGGTTAGATTACCAGCAGAGAATGAAGAGGTCACTGGTTCAAATCCAGCTATGGACACTTTTGTAATTTATTGCAATTATTTTCCCATTGACCTCTTTCAATTCTGCATGGTAGCAGCCATCCATGGCTGCATCAAGGGCAAATGAAACTGTCCCTGTGGCTGCATCCATGGCCATTTGACAAAATACTACGACCAAGGCTCGTAAATGCGGTTCTGTGCAATGCAGAGGTATGGCGTGCATGTTCCCAAGACGTCGTAAATCACATTTTCGATAGGTGCTGTGTATTCGTGATGTGCAACGTCGGAACTTTTGTAGGAAGCTTGTCAAGTACGAAGCGGTGCTACTCCCTAGGAACAACATGTATATCTAATGTAGGTGGAGGAATGAGGGCCAGAGACGCCTGTACGTACTTCCGAAGCGCCACAATTGAACGAGATCCTTCTGCGTACTTGGTGAAAACAGTTATCTTGAGGTGAGGAAAATGTTTGACGCTACGCAACCACGAATCCCATCGTACTTCTTGCGTCTGCGCGTGCTGTCCATAGAAGAGCGCTGGAGCGTCAGGTCCCCACAAGCAGACGTCGCGAGCATGTGATGCATCTATGCGGATATGGACGGTGTCCAGACTGTCCGCAACCCGCGTGCATCCAAAGGCAAAGAGAAATTCTTGGATGAACGCCCACTCCCATCGCTCGCTATCATTTGGCTCGTTGATCTCGAAGAGGATAGTCGTCAAGGAAATCATTGGACGACGGGTACGAAGCTCTGGTAGAACTATCAGCTACTGAGCAAAGTAACATATACAATCGCACCGTAGTTGTCGATACCCTGAAAACTTGGCAGCTCCAACACGTACAGATACCCCGCTACACCGTCCATGCAATGCACAAACTCGACCCACGTCATAAACCGTGGCAGCCGTAGCTGTCGCAGATGGCTGGTCCTGCCGAGGACGTCGGTCGTGAGGAGATCACGAATCGGGAACGGTTCGTCATCCAATAACACTAGACGGCGTAATGAAGCCAGATCTAGGGACTGATCGTCTGACGAAGCCTCTACCGCTCCCAAGAAACCGACTTGAAGGGTGGACAGCTTGGACGACATCGTGGACAGGCCCCGAACGAGAACGGCGACGCTGTGCACGTGGACGCGAACTTCCAGGTCCGAAAGGACAGGAAACTGCCACAAGAAAGAGGACAGTACAGATGACTGCGTCGACGGTGCGCCCATGTCAAGACAGGACCATCGCAAAGTCGTGACGTTGGGAAGGATGGGAAATGCATGCGGCGGAACTTGAGGTCCGATGGTGATCATGTTCACCAGTGACCAGAGAGGAATGTCGTCGACCGTCATGTATAGAACGTCAGCCGATCGAACATGTAGCCGTCGCAGCAGAAGCGGTCGGGCGATGTTCGAGAAAAGACGAGAGGTGCGCATGAGAGACTTGAGAGTCTTCTGGCCACATAAGCCAGCCACGATCTGCAAGAGTTCGACGGGCAGGCCGCGCGTGTCTGACGGACGAGTTAATGTGTAGCAAAGAGCACGTACGAAACTCACTCACCTGGCGACATACGCATGGGAAAAGGCAATCAGGGAGAACTTCGTAGGTGGGATGAAAAGAGATGGCCTGCGAGCAGACGTCGCAAGCGGAATGCGAGCCACCATGTGCGCGGATAGACCTCGACACACCTGTTCCTTGCGCTGACATCTCGTTGCAATAGCGCAGGAAAAACCGTTCAGCGCTGCTGTCATGTACGGAAGCAAACCTTAGCAATTGGAGATGCACATTCCACACACGATCACAAGAGAACGGAAGTATCGGCAAAGAAAAGCAGGGCAGGTATTGCAACCGAAAAGGTGAATTATGGTCAGGCGCGCATGCAACCCGATGATCGAGCCGGATGTAAGGCAGAAAGACTGGATTTTCAGGGAAGGTCCTCGAAGACGAAGTGGCGTATGCAGACTACGCAGTGCAACACGTCCGCTTTTGTTGCATCGGGGAACGAATACCTAAGATGCGCCTGCAATTGAAAGCGCTGGCTAGCGATGACGGACACATGTAACCCCCGCGTTGGGGAAACCGGACAGGAGGAGTGCAGAGCTGTATTGCATCGGCGCAAAAGAAATCACCTGCAAGTCGTAGGAATGCAGCTCGAAGAGCGTCTCGCCATCAAAGGACGCAAAACCCCGTACTCGAATCGAGAGTAGGACGCACGCACGCACTCGCCCCTCCATTGCTGATCACTACGTCATTAGTGTGCACATGTTTGAACATATTCTCACGAACTGAGGCAAG